GAATAAAAAACAAAAGCCTCACAGAAAATCAGAATGATGAGTTTAAAACTTGTAATTATGATTTTTTAACTCGTAATTATAAAAATCTCAAACTCATAATTCTGACTTTCTGACGCTTTTATTTTTTATTTACTGAGGAAATGGGCTTCCAAAAAAACATGAGGCTGCCCCAAAAAACAAAACAAAACAAAAAAAACACGTCTACAATAAAATCACAGCAGCTTCAGTTCAAACAAAAGGTCAAATATAAAATCAGTTTATTTTGTGATTCTAAATGAAGTTAAAGAGACAAAGAGCTGAATGTGGAACAGGATCTGCACAAACACCACGTCTGATCCAACAACAGAACGAGCGAGGAAATAAACCAGAGAATAAAATATTCAAATTAAAATAGTCGCTGAGAGTGTTTTTTGATCAGTGTTATTTGAAATAAACTTTAAATTAAATATTGGAAATAGAGGTCAAAATCTCAGAAAAATGAAATAACAAACTGTTTTCACTTTTTTTGTTTTGTTTTTCATTAATTGAAATTCAAAAGAACAAACAGAGACACAGAGTTTTCAGTGACGTCACAGCCTTTCAGTTTCAGTTTCAGTTTCAGCTGAATCCTGTGATGATAAAAACCATCAGCGTCGAGAAGGAAACGAGGAAAGAGAAACGAGACTCTGTTTATATAAATGTACTTTATCCGTCTCCGCTCGGACCTCGGAGCCTCGTCCTCACGTCACAGGCCAAAGAATCATGTGCACGATGGAAAAAAACATCGTGAAATGAAAATTCATGTTATAATTCTGACTTTAATGTTTGAAATAGAAACATTTGTTTGACACAAACTCAAACATTTTCAACATTTCTTCTGTCGACTCAAATAAAATGACATTTGTCTCGTGTCGCTTCAGTCGCCTTCGTCTTTAATCTCTTGGTTTAAGGACATTGACAGTTTGCGGCTGACGTCGTCCATGTTCTCTGGGGGTGCGGCGCTAACGGGAGGCACTGCTCTGTCTGAGGCGTCGGTCCAGTTTTACTTTAAAACAATCGGACCAAAAAGAACGGACTTGTTACTAAACCGTTTTTAGTTCTCGTCAAACTCCTGATCAGGACCATGAAAACTCACACTGGTCACATTCGCTTTTTACATCACTTTTATACTTTTTCAGACCGTCGTGAAACTGTTCTATGTGCGTCACCGTGGTAACCGCTGAACATTGGGCCCCGCACGCGCACGCAGAGCACCCCCAGAGCGACGTCAGCGGTGGTGGTGCGGCGGCGGCGGCGGCGGCGGCTGTAGCAGCGGGTTTTTCAGAGGCGTCGTGACGTTTGGTTTTGAAGGCAAAAGCACCAAACGCCAATGAGGAAAAAAGCACCAAATGTTTATCTGAGAATCGACCGCGATGAGGCGTTTACAGTAAGTACTCCATTTTGCTGCCGGTGGGTGAGAGGGAGGGGCCAGACGCTCACACGTGGAAATGATCTGCTCACGTTTTCTTTTCATGTTTTTATATTTGACATGAAACAAACTGAAACGGCACTTTTGATTCTTCGAAATGTTGCATTTTCTCGGGAAAATGTTTAAATAATTTCACAGATTTACAAAACCCTTCACTAAACAGAAGATTCATTTATGACCCAAGACTAAACCTGGACTAAGCCAAGACAAACCTGGACTAAATCCGAACTAAACCAAGACTAAACCAGGACTAAACCTGAACTAAACAAAGATGAAACCAGGACTAAACCAAGACTAAATCAGGATTAAACCAGGACTAAACCCAGACTGAAAAAAAGACTAAACCAGGACTAAACCTAGATTAAACCTGGACTAAACCAGAATTAAAACTGAACTAAACCCAGACTAAACCCAGACTAAACCAGGACTAAACCAAGACTAAATAAGACTAAACCTGAACTAAACCCAGACTAAAAAAAAAGACTAAACCAGGATTAAAACTGAACTAAACTCAGACTAAAAATGGACTAAGCCAAGACAAATCTGGACTAAACCCAAACCAAAAAAAGACTAAACCAGGACTAAACCAAGACTAAATCAGGATTAAAACTGAACTAAACCCAGACTAACCCCAGACTAATCTTGCACCCTGATTAACCCACAGAATTCTGAGTGACTTTCTTTTTATTCAAACCTTTGGAGAAACTTATTTTTATATTATTTTTACTATATTTATTTCCTTTTCTTACATTTGTCCAGATTTGTGTTCTTAGTGAAGGGTTCTGGAAACTCTGAGCTTCAAACGAACGCAAAAACAAAACTGAAAATCTGAAAATGTGAATATAAAATGTGAATAAAGCGACGTCCATCCCTCTCACAAAAAAATACAATCACAATCATAAAAACACTTCAGAATCACACTTTAACAACCAGAATCACCTAGAACTTTCTGTACATCTGCACCTAAATATCCACCGCACTTTAATAATGTTACAAAACTCTTCAGGATCATTTACACTTTAAAAAAACAAACCAAAACATTAGCAACCGTTAGCGTTAGCATTAGCGTTAGCATTTTAGCATTAGCGTTAGCACCTGGACAGTCTTTTCTAGAACACAGATTTGTGGCTTTAAAAACGAACACGACGGATTCTCCCGAAGCAAAACGCGTTTACAGACGGACCGTTAAAAGCCTTGTCTTACAAAAAATCACAAAAAAGTCAAATTTACATCAAAGAAAAGTGAGAAACGTGAATGAACAGGGAGAGTTAATCCGCTATTGCTCTGTCGGGGCTTTTAGTCAAACGTGTGGTAAAAATAATGGACTTAAACATGTTTTATAATCACAAATGTTCATGTTTTAAGGTCTAATCATGTTTTAACTTTAGATTTTGTCAGTGTTTAAGAGTAAAGAGACAGAACGAGCTCGTGTGGGACCAGACAGACTCGTTTAAAGAGTCACATTTTCTTTGTGTTTTGGTCGTTTTTAAGACGTTTTTTTTTCTGTCTCTTTTTACTGTCGGCAGGAACAGATTGGTCCAAAACACGAGTGTGGAGCACAGTGTCGGGAAGTTTACTTTTAAAATGTAATCCCCTACAGATTACAGATTACATACCTCAAAATGTAGTTTGTAACAGAATCCATTAAATTACTTAAAGTGAGTAATGTAATCTGATTACTTTGGATTACTTGATTTGTTGTAGAGAAACAAAGACGAGGAAATCTTCACATAAGAAGTTTTGTCTGATAAAAGAAAATAAAAAGTCCAAACTTTATTGAACCAAATTAAAAATATTATTGATAGAAAACGAGGAGATGTGGTCCCCACAACATGGTTTAGTCCTGTTAAATCCTGGTTTAGACCTGGTTTAGTCCTGGATTAGACCTGGTTTAGACCTGGTTTAGACCTGGTTTAGACCTGGTTTAGACCTGGTTTAGACCTGGTTTAGTTTCCGGCAATGAGTGAAATTACCGAAAAAAAAAGATTTAGCCCAAAATGTGAAAACAGTAAAATCCCTCTGTGTAATCCATTTATTTCAACAAAGTAACTGTAATCCAATTACCACTCACTGAAACAGTAACTGTAACTGAATACAGTTACTCATCATTTGTACTCTGATTACTCTGGTACATGTAATCTGTTACTTCCCAACACTGGTGGAGCGTAAAAGCTTTCAGAGATATTTGTGTGAACAGGATAGAAATCTGTGCAGTTGAGCAAAAATAAATATTGATAAACTCTTGGAAGGTCGTGTGCACAGGTTGGGAGGTCGAGGAGGTCGAGGCCCCGCCCCCGGTGAGACGTCCGGGTTTTCACAAACGGAAATATGTTCACCCCAACCTACACGTGTCACAAATGTTCACAAAGGTTCTTCTCGTCAGATGAAACCTCGTCCTTCTGCTCCTTAAAACAAATCATCTGTTCATGTTCTGGCTCCGGTTCCACATCGATGCTGCGTTCAGGTTTAGACGACTTCTGTAAACATCAACGTCGTGTCTCCAATGTTCATGTGGGACAATTTTGGGGCGTTTAAAGTTCACACTGGAGTCACACACAAGTCACATTTAACTGGAAATGTGAACGAGCAACAAAAATCACATTTGAGCATTAAACCTGCCGACTGAACGTGGACTTAGTCTCACCATAAACTTTCAACATGACTTTTGATCAGATTCTGCTCAGTTTACGTGAGAGAAATGTGTGTTTCTGTGATTTGAGTCCATTATTTTTACTCACACACCCTTTTACATTCAAATCTATAGAATACAGTCACTCTGGCGCCCCCTTGTGGTCAGACTAAACGCTTAGAATCTAAAATATACAAGAGACAACAAAACTATAATAATAATAATAATAATAATAATAATAATATGAGCTCATATCACGTGTGCTTTTAGTTTCTCTGTACATTACCTTCACTGACACGAACAGTCACTAAACTCGAGCTGCTCCTCCGTTCGTCGTCTGTTCATCGTCCGTTTGTCGTCCATTCGTTCATCGTTCGTTCGTCCATTTGTCATTCGTCGTCCGTTCGTCGTTCGTTGTCCATTCGTCGTCCGTTTGTCGTTTGTTCGTCGTTCGTTCATTGTCCGTTCGTCCTGCGTTCATTGTCTGTTCATCGTCCAATCGTGGTCCATTCGTTGACGTTCATCGTCCACTCATCGTCCTGTTTGTGGTCCTTTCGTCGTTCATCATCCATTCGTCGTTCGTTGTCCGTCCGTTCATCGTCCTTTCGTCGTCCGTCGTCGTCCTTTCGTCGTCCATTCGTCGTCCGTTCGCCGTCCGTTCGTCGTCCGTTCAAGGTCCACTCGTTGTCAGTTTGTCGTCTGCTCATCGTCCGTTCGTGGGTCCGTTCTTTGTTCGTTCGTGGTCCATTCGTTCATCCGTTCGTGGTCCGTCGGGTGAAGGCATGGCTCAGCGCAGGATAGGCCCAGGTCGGTGAGGAGTTTTGGGGCAGACAGGCAGACGGGGCAGACGGGGCAGACGGGGCAGAAGCTGGAGGATGTCCCGGAGGAGGGAGGAGGGAGGGGGCAGGTCCCTGTGTTTGTCCCAGAGACGTGAGGCCGGTGTGGGGAAGAGTTCAGCACACGGAGCCGCTGGGGTCTGGTTCTCCGGGGGTGTAGAAGTCTGGGATGGGCAGCCCGGTGTGGAGGGTCACCTGGACACACACACACACACACAGACACACACACAGACACACACACACAGACACAGACACACACACACACACAGACAGAGGGCGTTTAAAGATCCACTCAGTCACTTTTCTGGTGAAGGATCTGACACTTGTTCATCTCTGTGGAAACAATAACACTTGTCTGTCATTTTCCACAGTGCAGCTTTATTTTTTCTTTTTATGTCAAAAGCTCGATGTCCTGAAATGTAACAGATCATGACGTGTAACGAGAACTTCACTACTTTCTGTGTCATTGGTTTTAAAGTTTACAATTTCTGTGTCTTTATTTTATTTTTAATGTATTTTATTGGTTTTATTTATTTATTGCAATTCTGTGAATTTGCTCTTATTTTATTTGACTGTTTTTATTATTTTAAGTCTAGTCTGATTATTGTAGTAGTTTATTTGATCATTTTATTATTGTTGTTATTATTATTATGTTTTTGTATTTGGAAACTGTTTGTTTGTGAAATGTGCGACAGAAATAAAGTGGATGGAATTTGAACTTGATTCAGTTTTTATGTGAGACATTTTGAAAACAGTTTTTGTTCCAGTGAAGTTTTGTTGTTGAAAACTCAGCCCCCAGTGTCACTGTAAAACACTTTCTACTGTAAAATAATGAAAATAAAAATATGAAATAAACATCCTCACAGGTTATGATATTATTTATTAGTATTGTTATATTTTTGGTAACGTTTTATTGTTTAAACTTGACACTTTTCTCTGGCATCAGCTTCGTGCACTTTCTCACAGTTGGTCCAAAATTCTGCTGGAACCAGAAAACGTAAGAACATTGTCCTGATTTTAGTGTCGGTGCTTCCTGTTCGTTTTAGAGTTGATAAAAAAAAAAAAAAACTCATGATGATAAGAGGATTCGTTGAAAAAAAGGTTGAGCTAAACTGAAGTGTTGTAGTTCTTTCTCCCGTCAGTAGGGGGAGCGCTCTGCTTATTTTTGTCTTCACCCTTGATTTAAAAACAGAAGAAACATTTTGAATCTCACTGACGCCGGAGAGAAACAAAGACAAAAATAACTGAACTGAAAATGTTAAATTAAATATAATTTACATATTTCTGTTCTTCATGTTGGTTCAAAGTGTTTTAAACTTTAAACTAAACAAACTTTATTTATACATGTAGGGAGTATTATCTGTTACATAACGGTGAGTTGTTGTACAGTTGTAGGGAGTATTATCTGTTACATAACGGTGAGTTGTTGTACAGTTGTAGGGAGTATTATCTGTGACATAAGGGTGAGTTGTACAGTTGTAGGGAGTATTATCTGTAGCATAAGGGTGAGTGGTTGTACAGTTGTAGGGAGTATTATCTGTGACATAAGGGTGAGTTGTCGTGCAGTTGTAGGGAGTATTATCCTGTATCTTTCACTGTTTAAAGCTGCACTGTGTAACTTTTCGGGTGGAGACTCTGTCAGATGCTTTTCTCCACGGAGATGTTGTTGCTTTGTCTGGAATGTTCCACAATGCGGCATTAAACCTTTCTATCTCCATGGAGACCAAAGCAGACCCAGTTCCAGGTCAGATCTGTGGAGAGGCGACTGTCGCTGTCTGTTTTTCGAGGGATGTTTGAGCGATAAAACCTCTTGTAAATGACTAAATGTAAAGTGGATCTGTTTAAAGTCACAGTGTGGAACTTTCCCGTCAGAGCAGTGAGCAGATCTGGATGTTTGGAGCAGATCTTTTGAGGAGAAACGTTTAAATCTGTGACGTCTCGACTCTGAGCAGGTCTGTGGTCTCCTGCCGAGCTGGAGTCTGCGGGAAACGGCACCGACGTTTGTAAAAATGGAGCAGAAAGTTTGAGACTAAAATAATTCTGTTTCATCAAATCTGGACGTTTAAGGATTTTGTGGATTGAGTCGTTTCAGTTGTTCTGAGGCAGAACTTTTCCCCTCTGACAAAAAGAGATTTAATAATAATGAAACTTCTGAAGAAATATAACCAAAAAACTAAAAATATAACAAAAAAAAAACATTACCAAAAATTATAAAACACAAAATATAAAAAAGTATATAAAATAAACAAATAAAAAATATAAAACCGCCTGACATGAAACTAACACTGATGGAGTCAGCTGCTTGTTTCCATGGAGACAGAAAAGTTTGACTGTCACACTGTGGAATTTTTCAGGTAAATAAAAACATCTCCATGGAGACAGAAAGTCCCACAGTGACACTTTAATAACAGATCTGATCTGAGCGCAAAGGATCATGGTCCGTGGAGTTTCTTTTCTAGTTCCTTTTGTAGTTTTATAAGAGATAAGCCACGCCCCCACGGTGTTCCCCGCCCGGCGTTCCCGCGGTTACCTGGACGTTGCGGTTGAGGCTGATGGCGGGGTAGTACGCCCCTCCCCCCCGGCGTTCCCGCGGTTACCTGGACGTTGCGGTTGAGGCTGATGGCGGGGTAGTACGCCCCTCCCCCCCGGCGTTCCCGCGGTTACCTGGACGTTGCGGTTGAGGCTGATGGCGGGGTAGTACGCCCCTCCCCCCCGGCGTTCCCGCGGTTACCTGGACGTTGCGGTTGAGGCTGATGGCGGGGTAGTACGCCCCCTCCAGGCTGTCGAAGGCCACAGGCCCCTGCTGCTCGTCGTTGATGAGGAAGATGAGGATTCCTCTGGTGAAGTCGAGGAGCACGCCGATGGTCGAACCTTTGGCCACGCCCCCGTCCGTCCTGACAACACACACACACAAAACTGTGAGGTCAACACACACACACAACTCTACGGTCAACACAGGTGTGTACAGGTGTGTGTGAGTTTGTGTGTACAGGTGTGTGTGTGTACAGGTGTGTGTGTGTACAGGTGTGTACAGGTGTGTGTGTGTACAGGTGTGTGTGTGTGTGTGCGTGTGTGTACAGGTGTATACAGGTGTGTGTGTGTACAGGTGTGTACAGGTGTGTGTGTGTACAGGTGTGTGTATAGGTGTGTGTGTACAGGTGTGTGTGTACAGTGTGTGTGTGTGTGTGTGTGGTGTGTGTACAGGTGTGTGTGTATAGGTGTGTGTGTGTGTGTACAGGTGTGTGTGTACATGTGTGTGTTTGTACAGGTGTGTGTGTATAGGTGTGTGTGTGTGTACAGGTGTGCGTGTGTGTGTGTACAGGTGTGTGTGTGTGTGTGTACAGGTGTGTGTGTGTACAGGTGTGTGTGTGTACAGGTGTGTGTACAGGTGTGTGTTTGTGTGTACAGGTGTGTGTACAGGTGTATGTGTGTGTGTACAGATGTGTGTGTGTACAGGTGTGTGTACAGGTGTGTGTTTGTGTGTACAGGTGTGTGTGTACAGGTGTATGTGTGTGTGTACAGGTGTGTGTACAGGTGTGTGTGTACAGGTGTGTGTGTGTGTACAGGTGTGTGTACTGTGTGTATGTGTGTGTGTACAGGTGTGGTGTGTGTACAGGTGTGTGTGTGTGTACAGTGTGTGTGTGTACAGTGTGTACAGTGTACAGGTGTGTGTGTGTGTGTACAGTGTGTGTGTGTGTACAGGTGTGTGTTTGTGTGTACAGTGTGTGTGTGTGTGTGTGTGTGTACAGGTGTGTGTGTGTGTACAGTGTGTGTGTTGTGTGTGTGTGTGTGTACAGTGTGTGTGTGTGTACAGGTGTGTGTGTGTGTACAGTTGTGTGTACAGGTGAGTGTGTGTGTGTACAGTGTGTGTGTACAGGTGTGTGTGTGTGTGCGTTTACCTGTTTGTGTGCGAGTTGTTGTGCATGAACCAGGAGCGGTTGTTGTCGACGTACATGGCCCAGGCCTTGTCGTCTTTCCCGAGCATGGTGTCCTTGAGCACGTCGGCGCGGGCGACGCCGAACGCCGGGTCGGGGTGATTATCGTAACGGTCCAGCGTCATCTCCCAGTAGTGAACGCCGCGGGAAAACGCCACGCCGCCCATCACCACGCGGTCGTCGTAGCTGCTGCACGTCACCGTCAGGTTATCGTTGGAGAAAAGGATGTCGGGGTGAGCGGAGGCGGGGTCAAAGGTGAACCAGGCCACTGTGGAGCAGAGGGAGGGGTCAGGAGGGGGAGGAGTCAAGTGTGGGAGGGGTTAGGTGTGGGAGGGGTCAGGTGTGGGAGGAGTCAGGTGAGGGAGGAATCAGGTGTGAGAGGTGTGGGAGGAGTCAGGTGTGGGAGGGGTCAGGTGTGGGAGGAGTCAGGTGAGGGAGGGGTGAGGTGTTGGAGGTGTGGGAGGAGTCAGGTGTCGGAGGTGTGGGAGGAGTCAGGTGTGGGAGGAGTCAGGTGTGGGAGGAGTCAGGTGTGGGAGGAGTCAGGTGTGGGAGGAGTCAGGTGTGGGAGGAGTCAGGTGTGGGAGGAGTCAGTGTGTGGGAGGAGTCAGGTGTGGGAGGAGTCAGGTGTGGGAGGAGTCAGGTGTGGGAGGTGTGGGAGGTGTGGGAGGAGTCAGGTGTGGGAGGAGTCAGTTGAGGTCAGTGTTATAACAGCGGCAAAGGTGAGACGAGGGGCGGAGCTAATGCAGATGAGTTAGTGTGGAGTTTTTTTCTCTGGACGGTTCAGAGTTTTGGAGATTTATAAAAGTGCAGAAATATAAATGTGGCGTTTGGTTTATTCAGGACTTGAGTTTATTTTTGTACATTTTTTACACTGAGATGTTTTCAAACTTTTTAACCAAATAAAGGTTCAAACAGCGACTGGAGACGTCGACACTGCAACAAAACTGGAACAAACTTTAAGATCTAAACTCTTAAATTTAACAGAAAATGACTTAAAGAAGTGAAATGAATCTGTGTGTCATTCGTTCATTTGTTTTTCAAAATAAAACCAAAAATAAGAAAACAAAGAAAAAATAAAAATAACTATTTTCTTCATTATTTGTCTCCAAAACCAAAATGAAAAAACAGATAATGATTCTTTTTTTTCCAGTTTTTGATTTTGTGTTTAAATGAAAAATGCAAAAAAACAGATAAAAATGGCCATTTCCTGTTTCTGTGACGATGCTGGACTGAACCAAGACTAAAACAGCACTAAACCGTTTTCAGTTCTGCATCGCAATTTGAGTCACGTAAACGGGAAACGGTCGTTATCCGCTTTTTTCCATTTTTAATTTAAACACAAAATCGAAAAAGGAAAAAATTTAATCTTTATAATTTTTTTCATTTTGGTTTTGGAGACAAATAATGAAGAAAATGGTAGTTTTTTCATTTTCTTATTTTTGGTTTTATTTTTATAAAAATGAATGAATGACACATGATGTGTTCACGCAGCGACATCATTTTACTGGACAAGTTCTGTGAAAATAAATTTCCTCTGGACGAGAATGAATCGTCTCAGAACGAGAGTCGATCATAAATCTGAAAACAACATGAAGAACCTGAGAGAAGTTTGAAAATCTGGGTCAGATTCTGCTTCCTTAATATTCATAAATATTTCTTTAATTTGGTGTTAATTTAGTAAATCTGTGTGTGAGTGAAATGTTTTGTGATGACGAGTTTCACACTGATGTAAAACACAAAATGGATGAAACATCAGAATGAACGAGTAAAACTGAAATCTGCATTTATCAGATTAAATAATATCATAAATATTCTTAAACATCTAATCTTCATGTATAAAAGTCTTAAACTTAAACTTAAACATCTAATCTTCATGTATAAAAGTCTTAAACTTAAACTTAAACATCTAATCTTCATGTATAAAAGTCTTAAACTTAAACTTAAACATCTAATCTTCATGTATAACTTATCTTTAATTTAAACGTCTCAGTGAACAGTTCACACGTGACTCCCACACGAACACGACTCTTTTATTTCAGACTCATTCTCAAGTTTGTTGACTTCATATTTTTAGGAGATGAAGCCAAAGTTGTTGAGTGTGAGAAGAACAGTTTAGAGTCTAAGTCTGAGTCTAAGTCTGAGTCTAAGTCTGAGTCTGAGTCTGAGTCTGAGTCTGAGTCTGAGTCTGAGTTCGTCTGGAGTCACTGCACAAACTCTGAGACTCACAACAACAAGAACATGACTTATTCTTAAATCTATTTGAGTTTTCTGCAAACCACAGCACAAAACTCACAGGAAAACAGGAACATCTCAAGATCAATCTTAAACTCTATAAAATGTAGAATTCTTAAACTCTAACTCTGTAAAATGTAGAATTCTTAAACTCTAACTCTGTAAAATGTAGAATTCTTAAACTCTGTAAAATGTCGACTTGTGGCTCCGTCAGTGGAACAGGACGGAGGTGTCGAGCTGCAGTTTGAGCTGCACCTGTTTATTTCCCACAAGAATCTGGTTTAATAAAAGAGGAGAGAGATAAACACACACACACACACACACTGTACACACACACACACACACACACACACACACACACACACACACTGTGAATGAGATGAGGGGGGAGGGGGCGGGGCGTCGTACCTGGGCCTATAGACTGAATATCACAAGGAGCAAGTCCAGCTGAAAGAAAAGAAAAAAGGAGGAAAGAGGGAAGAAAGAGGAAGGAGATTGGGAGTGAGAGGAAAGAAAGAGAAAGAGAAAGAGAAAGAGAGGAAGAGGAGAGGAAGAGGAGAGGAAAAGGAGGAGGTGGGAGCAAAACAAAAGCAAAGCAGTGGAGTTAAGCTTCAGGCTTCAGTATTTGTGTTTCCAGATGATTTAAATTTAAGACACAAATTTACAAAATCTGAGAAAAATGAAAAACTCATTTAGTGGAGCGTTTAAGTCCTGCTCTAGTCCAGGTTTAGTCCAGGTTTAGTCCAGGTTTAGTCCAGGTTTAGTCCAGTTTTAGTCCAGGTTTAGTCCCACATTTGGACCAATTCAAACCGGTTCTGACTCTTCAGGGTCAAATGAATCATGTTTGTATAAAAACTAAATCTAAATGAAACTAAATCTGTGTGAGGACAAAAAAACTAGAGCCTCGGGTTTTCTTTAATGTGTACTTTTACTTTTACTTAAGTACAGTAGTACTCACACTTATAACTGAGTATTTTAGCTGTGTAACTTTTACTTTTACTCGAGTATGACACAATTTCAGACGTGGAAACACAAACACTGCACAAACACAAACACACGGCAAACTGAAACTTAAAGTGTTTCATAAAAGCCCCGTGTGCTCTCCTCTGTGTCTGTGGGAGGAACATCATCATCATCATCATCATCATCATCATCATCATCATCATCATCATCAAACTCATGAAACGCGTCGAATTCACTTCTACAAAGTGATGTCATCACTTCAGATGGGGGGTGAAGTCTGTAGAACTCTACAGAACTCTATGTAACTCTATTTAACTCTATGTAACTCTATTTAACTCTATGTAACTCTATTTAACTCTATGTAACTCTATTTAACTCTATGTAACTCTATTTAACTCTATATACACTTTATTGCCAAAAGTCTCTTCTGCTTTGACTCTGGTCTGATCTTCAGCTCCATCTTGTTCTTGATCCAGAAGGTTTCATCTGACCTCTGACCCTCTGCAGCTCTCACAGCTTCAGCTCTTCTGGAAGCTCCACAGGGTTCAGGAGAGTTTATGGGAGTTTTGTAGCATCGTTCAGAGGAACATTTGTGAGTCCCACACTGATGTTGGACAGAAGCTCTGACTCTCAGGCTCTCAGGGTCTCGCTTTCACTGGAACTAAGGGTCCAATCCGAGCTCCTGAAGAACAAGTCCACACCATAATCCCCCTCCACCAAAACTTTACACAAAGTCAGACAAGAACAAGAACCATTCTCCTGAAACCTGCAAACCCACACTCGTCCATCAGAACCTCTAAACCCACACTCGTCCAAACACACACTCATCCATCAGAACCTGCAAACCCACACTCATCCAAACACACACTCGTCCATCAGAACCTCTAAACCCACACTCGTCTAAACCCACACTCGTCTAAACCCACAGTCATCCATCAGAACCTCTAAACCCACACTCGTCCAAACACACACTCGTCTAAACCCACACTCGTCTAAACCCACACTCGTCCAAACACACACTCATCCATCAGAACCTCTAAACCCACACTCGTCCAAACACACACTCGTCCATCAGAACCTCTAAACCCACACTCGTCAAACCCACACTCGTCCAAACACACACTCATCCATCAGAACCTGCAAACCCACACTCGTCCATCAGAACCTCTAAACCCACACTCGTCTAAACCCACACTCGTCCAAACACACACTCATCCATCAGAACCTCTAAACCCACACTCGTCCAAACACACACTCGTCCATCAGAACCTCTAAACCCACACTCGTCCAAACACACACTCATCCATCAGAACCTCTAAACCCACACTCGTCCAAACACACACTCGTCCATCAGAACCTCTAAACCCACACTCGTCCAAACACACACTCGATCCATCAGAACCTCTAAACCCACACTCGTCCATCAGAACCTCTAAACCCACACTCGTCCAAACATACACTCGTCCATCAGAACCTCTAAACCCACACTCGTCCAAACACACACTCATCCATCAGAACCTGCAAACCCACACTCGTCCATCAGAACCTCTAAACCCACACTCGTCCAAACATACACTCGTCCATCAGAACCGCTAAACCCACACTCGTCCATCAGAACCTCCAAACCCACACTCGTCCAAACCCACATTCATCCATCAGAACCTGCAAACCCACACTCGTCCATCAGAACCTCCAAACCCACACTCGTCCAAACCCACATTCATCCATCAGAACCTCTAAACCCACACTCGTCCATCAGACTGTCAGATGGAGAAGTTCAGTTGGTCCCTCCAGAGTAGTCGTATCTTCTGCTCTAGAGTCCAGCGCTGGTGTTTTCCTCCACCGCATCCGACGTTTCGCTCTCGGTGATGTGAGTCTTGGTCACAGCTGCTCGGCCGTGGAAACTCGTTCCATGAAGCTCTACCAATGTTCTGGAAATCATCTGAAGGACACGTGAAGTTTGGAGTCTGGAGAGATCGACTCAGTTTCTGTGGCCTCAGACTTCGTGGCCGAGTCGCTGTCGTTCGATTGATTCCACTTTGTTCTAAAACTCCTGACAGTCGACTGGAGGAAACGAACCTGCACCATGTTTTCTTTTCACATGAACTCAACGACTTTTATCTGACTCACTTACACTTGATATTTTAGATTTAACATGCAACTGTCACATGCTCCTGTACGTCCATCCTGAATTTTGGACTTCCAGTCATCGCGCTCAAGTCTTTTGAACCACATCACTTTTGTTTCTGGTTCTGATATTGTCATATTTTAGTTTTGGGATTCGGACATCGTCATTGTTGTGGTTGTTGGATCCAAACAGCGGAAAACGACTCGAAAAATGAGCTTCGGAAGTTTGTGAAGTCCATAAGTGTGAAAGGGAATCAAACCTCGGGATGATTTAGTCAGACAAATGTTTCCTTTTTGGTTCTTCCTGTGGATCAATCCTGCCCATCACCTTCACCTTTCACTGTTTTTCAATTCCGTTGGGAAGAGAAACAGTTTGAACGGAGGTTTGAGTCACACACATCTGATTCACTTTTGCATTTATGAAGTTCACAAACACATTTTTGGAGTCGTTTTCCGCTGTTTGGATCCAACAACCACAACAATGACGATGTCCCAATCCCAAACTAAAATATGACAATATCAGAACCAGAAACAAAAGTGAAATGGTTCAAAAGACTTGAAAAGATCCACTTTGACAATAGACACGTCCCACTGGGAAACAAACATGGAGGTTTGATCATCACTTTTTCTGATGATCATTTTCAGTCTGAACTGCACCAGGACCAGAGTCTGAGATTCAGGATGTTTGTATTGGCTGTGTGCTGCCCCCTGGTGGTTGTGTGTTGTTGTTGTGCTGTGTTGTGTGTCCAGACGTGCTGAGCAGGTGTTTGTGTGTGTGTTGTTGTTGTTGTGCGTCTGTAGTTGTGTGTCGTACCTTCAGACGTGTGCATG